GGGGTGGGGGGGTGGGGGTCCCAACACACCTTGGCTGCCACTATTGGCCAAATTTCCACATATTCTGCTCTCCCTTCTTCTCATCAAATTAGATGAGGAACAAGACAGCTCAATGAAGGGACTTAATGCTCCCTACTTGCATTGGTATCACTGAGGCACATGCCTCTATTCAAAAGACTTATCAGATTATACTTAAGTGTATCATTGTACCATTTTGGTATCAACATTCAACGTTGAAATGATATTACCCATGGCTAGCAGGGAAGCTCACTCAGTGCATAGCACAATGCTTTCTTCCAAAGCAATGAAGAATACCTTGAAACACTCAGGTTTTGGAATGTTTCTCTGCGCGTTTAGTGCTAACTACCACCCTGATGCTGCTTTTGCAAGCAGAGCAAAAACCACAATCCATTTATCAAAAATATGCCTACCCAAAATATGCACCAAAGCCTTAAGGATTTAAAGCATTTAGGTAAAAAAGATTTTATGAGTAAGGGTGCAATTTGCAAATCACACTCTAAATGTATTTCAGTCTCATATCATCCAGGATGATGAATGCATAATGCTGCTTACAAGTAGCATAAAAGTGTACCTAGCTCCTGATATATAAAACCAAATTGAAACTATAAGCAAGTTAAACCACCCCAGGATGTGCATTCTCCTCCTATTTACCATGTTACAATTACTCGTGTTGGCCTCAGAAGATGCTTTCCCTAACCGTCTTATGATTGTGACCATTGTAGAAGTATGGTGCAAAGAGAAAAGACCTTGCTGATAAAGTAAGATCAAGGCAGTTCTCTGCCTTTGCAATAATTCTTAAAGAAAGCCTAATTGATCACTTTCAAGGTCTGTCTTTAAAAATTTAAACAAAAAAATCCACTGGAAAAACCACTGTTGTTCTGCTGTTTATGACCAAAAAAGTAACTCTTTACTCTTCAAACTCCCCTATCTAATGCAACAAGTTCTGGCAACTGAAGAAAAAAAAAAAAAAAAAAAAAAAAAAAAAAAAAAAAAAAAAAAAAAAAAAAAAAAAGTGTGAAAACCATGTAGAAAAGTATAAAAGTTCACATATGCTGTATTTGGAAAGCAACTCTGATTTCATTACATTTATAATTGTAATTAACAAGTGTTAACTAACCATTATTTTAACTAATATATTCTAATACAATAAGAATACCTGTTATCAGTTTTATAGAAGTTTGCTATTTATAAACTAAATGCTTGCACAACACTGTACTGTTAAGCTCATTACTGCATGGTAAATGCACAGGTGCTGCTCCTTGAATGCACATCATCCCACTAAATATTTTAGCATCTTCATGTAGATTGGAAAGAATGTCTCTAATTCTTCATTATTGACTATAAGAACGTTATTAAAAATATAGCGGTTTAGACATAGTGTACTATGAGATGTTTATTCCTTTCAAAGCCTCATGGTGGTACATTGCTTCATACACAAAACTCAGAGGCTTCAATGAAAAGTATTCTACTTGAGTGTCCTTTGCTTCTGAAGAGGTGAACTGTTCTTTACATTTTAGTCAAAGGATGATACACGTGTTTGCTAGTAACATTAAATAGGTGTTTAACAGCATATATGGAATAAGCTGCTCAATTTCCTTGCTTTCACTACAAAGTGAAAGATACAGCACTCTTAAAGCACAGGCAACCCAGTAAAGTTAAATAAATGATGGGAACACCAACAAAGCTGCTATTCTACGGAGGTAACATCAGCTAAATTTTATAAGAGCTGCACACTGAACTGCTGTTTAACAGCCAAAAGTAGCATCTTCTCTTACATATGCCTTCTTGTAACAGGACTTTATCACAAAATGACAACAGTATTATGCTGTGTAATTAGAGTGTGGTTTACCCAGAGACAAACAAAACAACTAATATAAATTCATCCTCAGCAAGGGACAATGATTAATCAGTCTAGCAGTTAAGATGCTTCCCGGACAGGCAAATGTCTGGGGTCCTGCTCCCCATCTTTGGGTCTCTCTCTGTTTCTCATACAAAACACAGAGCGGATAAGCACAGAAAGTGATCGGTGCTTCCCAAGGGAAGCCCACGGTCTTAAAAGTAGGTGTGGGTAGGTGCGAAGTAGCCCCATCCCTTGCAGCAGGTGAGCAGAGGACTGCTCTAACCATGCAGTGACAGTGCAAAATACTGTCCTTTGTGATGTTTGAGCAGAACGATTCCTACATAATGCTTTGAAATAAGGAGAGCGAATGCCCATTCTCAACACAGCCCTGCAGTCCCTGGAGGAGACGGGACTGGAGCCACATGCCTCTGCTCAGGCTGCCCAGGAGCTGTGTCCCACTTGGGGTGCATGTTGTTTTCCAGGCTGTCTCTTGGAAAGCTCTCCTGCTGGGCTGCAGAAGCAAACCTAGAGAACTGTGAGTTCTGCACTCTGCTTTGGGAGCCAAGTAATCTGCATCTCTTGCTTCCTAGCTGTAGCACTGTGTTCAATTATTTCAATATTGCAATTATCCTCGAGGTACATTTCATTCCTCCAATTTATAAAAAACAATGCAACTCGAATTCAAATCAACAGAATTACACATAAATACCACTTCAAAATTGAGCCGTAAAATGTATTTCTTAGAGGCAATGTTTGCCTTCTGTTCAGTTCCATGGGCCAGTGATTTCACTTTAAATATTATAGAATTTTGACAATGCTTTCTCAAAAAATGAAAACTTTTTTTTTTTTACTTTTTTTTTTTTTTTTTTTTTTTTTTTTTTTTTTTTTTTTTTGCATTTTCATTAGTATTTTAATTTTCTATATATGTATCCTTCTACGGCTGAAAACCTCATCACCACACTCACTGAACCACCAAAAAAACCCACTGTCAGCATGCTGCTTGAAACAAGGTTACTTACTAATGTTACAAATTACACTTCAAACTATCCTAACAGACAGAAACTGGGGAGGGGGTGGGAAATATGTATTTTGATTTGTACACCTAACTGTACTTTGTATGCATTTAGTCAGGTTTCCTTCTAACTTTGACTTTTCTGAGCAAAAATTTTGAAACGGCTTGGCAAGTTTCAAAATTAACTTAAAAAGGCAGAAGGCTGAAGAAGTCTTTATTTAAAAAAAAAGTAATTGATTTCAAATTGACTACCCATCTTAATGAAACTGTGAAATAAGAATGCTGCCTCAGTTAACTGAATACAAAATGCAAGTAGACAATATAAAGAACACTAAAAGCAGATGCTTTCTATTCTATCGATTTTGAGACAGTAGAATGCTGCTAGGGACCCAAGAGTGGAGTTTTTGAGTAAGATTTATTCTTGATATCCAGTACTGACACTTGAAATATTAAATACCTTAGAAAAGAGCATTCCAACATTACAATCATGTTCTAACTATAAATACATGTATAACAAGTTCTAAAACTACGAAAAAATATTTTTAAAAGAACAAGCAGATGTTGTTGGAAGCATTACTCTTATGGACAATAAAATCCCTATACTTAACATAGTTGGAAAACCTCCTTTGCTGCCCTGTGGAGGAGGACAGGAAGCCTCAAGTCTCCACTGAAGCCAGCCTGCAACAAGGGCATTTTGCCAATAGGACTTACAGGGCATGTTCTCAATTTGGGTCTTTTTTTATTTCATTTTAGTTACATCTGCAGATGCAGTTTAACTTTAAAAAGAAGAAAAAAAAATATCACTCTTCTGTTTTCCCACAAGTTGCCTAAAGCTGAAGTTTTCTCAACCTGTCCCCTGTACTTTAGCAAACACTAATTTAATCTTGCAGTGGTCAGCAAAATACTAAAATAATCTGTTTCCAGCATTAATGCATCAATTTGGTTTCTCTTCAACCAGGTGTTCTCCCCACGTCTATTAGAAACGTTTTATTTTCCTCAATGCTTTGTTCTCTTTCCACTCATTCTTTGCTTTTATTTTAAAATACCGTTCCATCTGAACTTCGTACAGACAATTTAAAATCTCTTCCAAACTGCATTCAATTTTCCTTCATTTTTATCCAACACTTATCTAAACTATGAAAATACTTAGCAAAGATAAAAGCGCTGTTGGTCCAGCGCTGGGTTTGATTTAGCAGGGGAGAAAATGTATCAATGTATATTGGCACGACTATTTGTTTTACTGGATGCAATCGTTCATGTAAATTCATAACCCGGTGACTGGG